TATGTCACAGCCGCAATATATTTACTCCATGATATGAATAAACAACAACACGGCTGGTGGATTCTTTTGTATTTCTCTATTTCAATTACTTTTGATGATGAATATAACAAGAATAATAAGTAAGAAGGTGACCTGTAAAATAAATGAATACACTAACTCTCTCACATTTAATTATTTTAGAATATGTTAACTGTTCTCATTAATTAGATAATTAATTGATAAGGTATTTAAGTTATTCAAAGCGACGGTGGTAAATTAATTCTTACCGAATAGACAGGAATACAATTGTCTTTATTATAAATAAAAGACTTTATGTATGGAGAGGAGATAAACTCATCCTTTCTCCTGACTGTCTTAGGGTGGAGTAAGTTATTAGGGGTGTTTGACGCCAAGCATGCGTATTTGGTACCAAACTAGTAAAACCACTCACACACTCTCACACTAAAATATCAACCAATCATACACCTGCAAGTCTCACCCATTCTGACACAAACACCTTTGACCTTTCGCACTCTCAAACCAACCAAAAGGCATTTAACCCCATGAATATCAATGAATGACTTCATGAATGACTGAATACATAGAAAATTCCAGAGGACTGTACTGTTCCGTATAGGTGAAGATGATTATGATGATGGTAATGAAATGATTAGTATATTAGGTCACAAATCAATAATACAAAAATTATATAGTATTTATTATAATATTAATTTATTCACCCTGTGACATTCTCCCCCTCTTAGAGAAAAATGTCTCCCGACATTTCAAATATGAAACATATCACATCTGAAATAAAATAATCGGTTAATTTTAAACAATAATACTTCACACTTGATCATTGTAAATGTCTTCTCCGGTAAACAAGAAGATCTGTAATGCATTAGTAACATCAGTTGCAATGCTAATATTCATTCAAAAGAACAAGCATAATCCAAATAATATCAAATAAAGTATTCTGAAAAACAATACATGATTAATATCATAAAAAAAACTAAGTAACTACTCTAAGCTACTACTAAATCTACTATCATACTACAATACACAACTACTGTATATTATATTTTAGATCATCAATAAAATTAATTTAGTAACTCTTCTAAGCAAATTACTAAATTTAAGATCCTAAACTATAATACATATATCCCTGTGACATTCTCCCCCTACACATACCAAACCTGAGCACACTGTTCCCCAACTACCCAATTACCGTATTTATCTGGTGCCTTTCGCACTCGAGTAAAGCGTCTCGGTTGTGCAGTAGACAGACTCGTTTCACGTTCACGTGGCTGATCTCGATTAAAGTGTAATCTAAGCCCGAAGTTGTGTTAGAGTTATTATCTTGAATATTAGATTCAGGACCAACAGAAGAAAATGAATCTAACTGTTGTATAGGCCTACTGACATTATTACTAACATTGAAAGTATGATGATTTGGTACACTCACATTACATCATTACTGACATTGAAAGTATGTTGACTTGGACTGTTGACATAATTACTCACATTAAAAGTATGTTGACTTGGACTCGCATTGCAAGAGGACATTGCCCTAGAACCACTTGATCCCATATGTTCACTTGAACTATCGAGGTCAATATTGTGATCTACACCTGAAGTGTTTAAGACATTGTTCTTTCTTTTAGAGTTAGAAGGTCTTGACAGATATATTTCCTGTTCTGAATCAGATTCACTGGAATCAGACTGTTTTTCACTTACTTCACCTTTCCTCTTCTTACTTTGTCTGGTCTTTCTTTTGATAACTGTTTGGCGTGTCTATTCAATCTCTTCTTCATCTGCAAGAAACAAAAAAAGGTAATAATAAATTTCTGTGCAATAACCTTGTAGGTCCCTTTCATGATGCCCTTTGTACCTTATACACAGGAATGTCTTCCTTTAGTTTGTCTACTACCACATAAGGATCTTTCTCCCACCTATCTGAAAGTTTACATTTTCCTGTTTTTGCTAACAACAGTACCAATACTCTGTCGCCAATCTCTAATTTTGAAAAACAAACTTTATTGTCATAATTTTCTTTGTGTTGAGAACTGCATGTTCTTATAACTGTTTGATCTTGCAACTTTGTAGGCAAATTGTAATTTCGAATCATCTAAATTTAAAAAGGCATCAATAGCTACTAGTAACCTTGGATGTCAACCAAACATTAAATAATGAGGGCTGAATCCTGTAGTGTCTGTTTGATGAATTATATGCATGAACTAAAGGAAGTATATATGATTTCCAGTCTTCCTTTTATGTAATTTTCCAAAGTGCCTAGCACTAGTATTTTAATTAAAGTTTGATTAAATCTTTCAACAAGACCATTTCCCATTGGATGGTAAGGTGTAGTTCTACTTTTACTTATCCCACTTATTGCACAAAGTTCTTTAATCACCTTACTCTCAAAATTTCGACCTTGATCGGAGTAAAGTCTTTCTGGGAAACTATAATGACAAATAAAATTCTCAAACAGAGCTTTAGCTGTTGTTTTTGCTAGCTGATTCTTAGTTGGAACTGCCATTGTATATTTTGTAAAATGGTCGGTTATTACCGAAATGTTTTCAAACCCACCTTTAGACTTTTCTAATGTTAAAAATCAATACATAGTATTTCTAAAGGTTTAATAGTTTGTATATTTACAAGATTAGCTCTAGCGCTTTCTGCTGTTTTCCTTCGCACACATCTACCACAAGTTTCAACTCTTTGTTAGATTTCTTTTTCCATACCATTCCAGTAGAATCTATGTTTTGCCAACCATAAAGTTTTGTGTCTGCCCTGGTGGCTAACATCATTATGAATACCTTTAAAAGCAACATTTCTGTAATGTGATGGTTAGACTAGTTGTTTAATGTTTTTGCCATTAACCATTGTATGACGATAAAGAACATTTTAAAAGATTTCATAATTTCTCCACTCTCTCAGATATTTTCTAACCTCTAAGTTTTCATATTTCAACTCTCCACTCTCTGGTTTCAAACCGGTTTCTAACAACTCTATAAGTCTGTTTATAGATGCATCTTTTCTTTGTTCTACAGCCCAATTAATATTGCTAAATTCTTGAAATTCGTTATCCTCACTATTATTTTGTAGTGTAGCATTTTTTGACAAAAGTAACCTTTCAGCCAGAGGAAGTTCCTCCTTTTCTATTTACACAGCTGAAGTTAAAGCTTTGATAACATTAAGACAAATTTCTATGGGTCTACGAGATAATTCATTCGCATCTCTGTTTGATTTACCTGTTTTGTAATGTATTTAAAATTGTAATTGGAAAGAGATGCCAATCACCTATGCGACAGTGCATCGAACTTGGCTGTGGTTGTTACATATGTTAATGGATTATTATCCGTAAAAACATTAAACGTATTGCCATATAAGTTGTCATGAAATTTATCACATAAGGCCTATTTTAAACATAAAAATTACAATTTGTGGGCAGGGTAATTTTGCTCACTTGACCGTAGTCCTCTACTGGCATATGCAATAACTCTATCTAAACCTCCCTGACTTTGATATAATACTGTTTCAAATTCATTTCCCCCATATAATTCTCCATTAACCGCTGAAATGTGGCGGGAGCATTTGTTAAACCAAAAGCCATGCGGTTACACTCATAAAATCCAAGGGGACCTAATGTAAACGCTGTTTTGTGTTCATCTTCTTCTTTGATTTCAACCTGCCAGTATCCTGATCTAAGATACAACTTTGTAAAATACTTACTACCAATTAGAGTATCTATGGTTTCCTCCACTCTTGGGAGATTGTAAGCGTCCTTGATGGTTTTGTTATTTAACTTCATTAAATCGATGCAAAATCGTAAAGTACCATCTGACTTTCTAGCAAGTACAACATTTGAACAATGTGGACTTTTTGACTCTCTTATGGCATTTGCTTCTAACATTTTTTAAGGTGTTGCCTTACCTCTTCATACATTCCTGGAGGTATTCGTCTACAAGGTTCCTTAAATGGAGTATTATCTGACAAGTTAATTTCATGCTCCACTAAGTCTGTTCTACCTATATCTTTTAAAGAGGTAGAGAAAATATGTTTCCATTTGTTCAAAAATTGGTGACAACTCTCAACTTGATCAGAGGATAATTTGTTTTCATTTATTTTTACCCCTAACTCTAATAGGTCTAATTCTGATTTATTTCTATAATCATTTGATGTTGAAGGTTCCCAAGGAATTTCTACTTTTACAGAACTTAAGGAATTCCATCCCTAATGGGACCAAATTCTCTACCTACCCTTAAATGTCCATCAAGTACACAATACTCTGATATTATATTAAAGCATTTTATAGTGGAAAAGAATTGACCGCGAGAAATTTTCAAAAATTTCATTAATTAAGCAGTAGTTAATTAACAAAGATTGCATTGAAGTCTATGGGGAAATGCGTTTTTTTCCAAATAAAAATTCAAATAATTTGAATATCAATAAATCCTGCGGTGGAAAGATGCATTGATACATTAAAAATAGAATGACAATTGAAAACAATTTTTTTACCGCCTAAGTTTTTTTAATTGATTTTTTTATTAATTAAAAAGGGGAGATAACTCTTACCAAAATTCAAGGTCATGAATTAGGACACACTTATAGTAATAAATGGGAAGTATGTGTAAATAAACTGAGTATTCAATGCCTACATATCTTAAGTTTTCAATTTCATTGAAATTGTTCATAATAGGGATTGAAGACTTTAATTTACAAATAAGAGACTTTGGTGACACTTTGATTGCTTGCGCTGACATGTTACATACCCTTATTGGAATTCGTGAGGTCTTACCATTTTTGACTGATACCACTCTTGGACATACCAAAAGACTGTTATTATTTGATTGATTTTCAATTTGTTCTGTAATAGCAGCACTTACATGCATGCTGTTGCAAGACTTAACTATTCCTGAGATAGTTTTTACCTCATAAGGACCTACTGTAATGGAATACTTGTTAGTGGTCTTTACAGGAATATCATTGTTAATACTAAGATTTGCAAATGCTAATTTCTATTCCTCTGGAACATCTGTATGTTCTGGGTTTGCATAATCTTTACACAACCTTATCACATTTGTACCAATAATAATAGGAACTTTGCTATTGTATTCAGTTCCTTTTGTGACTAGAACTGGTACATAAAAAGGATTCAAGGACAAAAATGGAATTTGTAATTCAACTTCAATATATCCTGAAAATAGTAGAGAATTGCCTTCTGCACTATAAACTTTGAAGTCAAAGTCTTCTATATTATGCAGCTCTGGGTTTTTTTGTTACGACTGGTAAAAATTTTCAGACATACAAGTGACCATTGATTCAGTATCAATCAAAGCTCTTGTTTTTACACCATTTACAAATATGATACTTTCATTCTGATGTCCAACCATTCTTGATAACAAATCTTTAGATTCAGATTTTGAGTTTCTAATAGGGCTTTTCTGAACCTTGTTTTCCTCCTCCATCTGTCTCTAAATAGAAGAGATAAGTATTTTTTTAATTCTGTTCAACTTGGGATGATTTGTATTGACTTTGACCCTGAATTTGACCTTGGCTTTGACCTTGACTTTAACCACGACCTCGACCAAAACCTGTGTTTGAGTAGTTGAACATACCCCTTGTAAATGAACCTCTATTTGCATAAAAACTTTGTTGTATTGTCATTATGTATTGCTTTCTAATTCATAGACTCTTTTGTTCAATTGTTGAAAACTTTTTGAATTACTGTCAATTTTCTGTTCTAACCTTTCCATTGTCCTTACCATTGTCTGTAATTCTTTCTGTAGGTCTGTCGATGATGTAGTAATCTCTGCTCTCTCTGCCTGTTGCTGACTTTGTTGTTCCAGAACTCCTTTGTGATGTAATCTCCTCTTGCACCTTCCTAATTTCCCTGAGTAAAGATTCAAAATTTTTGAAAGAGTCAAACAGATATGTCGTAGTTTGATTTAAATTTTGACTACCTAAACCAGTCCAAAATTTACTTCTTAGCATCCCATCTTTTGCTTCATTACCAATGTGACCAAATTTGATTGCTTTTGATAATGTGTCTTCTAACATAGAAGCAAATACAACAGTTGATTCCCCCTCTTTTTGACAATCATTATAAAATGACTGCATAAGCGTTTCGCCTGAGGCAACATTGCCAAAAAATCCATCTAATTTTCTCAAAATGTCTTGGATAGAAGCTTTATCTCCCACTTCCACTAACATATTTCTATCTAAACCTTTTAAAGAATTTCTTACGGCTTGAAGTAGAATATGTTCTGGGTACTGATTTGAATTAAGTAAGTATTTATACATTGAATTGACGACGGATTTTTTCCGTTATTTCCTGATCATGACAAGGAGCACACGGCGGGTGTGACCGGTCGGCAGGGGATGCTCACTCATCTTTGGCACCTGATCTCACCTCTGATGTTTCGGGGGTCCGTGTTTGATCTCTTATTTCTTATTTTGTATTGTTTTATGGACTTTGAGATTGTATACTGATCATTATCTCCATATCCTTCATGCATATTAGGCTTTCTTAGCTTCTGACCTATCGACCTGCCTGATTTACATTCCGGTAGAATTATCAAGAAATCAACTCCGCTATCTTTCAAAGAGTTATCACAGAGAAAAAAAAATAGAAATGGTAACATTAAAGTATAAGGTGTTTTGTGGTAGACCGAGAATTTTCAGATCGGGAGAGGCCGGGCAGTAGTATAATTTTATCAATTTATATCCCGTGCTGGGTCCGCATTTGACGTTTAAGTAAACGCCTTGTATTAAAACAATCTTTTAGATGTATGTAATTAAATCTTATATAAATCGGGAAATGTGTCAGAATGATTTATTATCTTGTTTATATATGAATTTTAATAAATTCTATTCTATTGTATCTGTCTTCAACTATAGCTCCCGAGTAACAAAATGACCAAAAAATTAGCAATATCACATAGGCTGATTTTTACAATGTAGCTTTTCCTAATAAAATTCACCTGGTTTGGTATATTTTTCTTCAGTTTATATTACATTTTTAGCACCAAGATAACATATTTTGAATTTTTTTCACCTGTAAACCTTTACTGAATGTGATTTGTCTATATTTGTTTTTTCATTGAAATATTAGTAATATTTTCCAAGTGTTTTTCAAATTCCAGTTCTTAGGAGAGCAAAATCTAAGAACAATCCACTTTTTCTAAACTTATGACTTGATTTTTAATGTTTTTCAAAGAAAAAAATGTTTGTATCATCTGTCCTTAAATTCCTCCTCCGATTGTTGAGTACTACATGTAGGACTTACTTTAGTTTGTTGTTTGTGAAAGTCACTGCTTTGTGTCACATCAGAACCAGAAAGGGTAACTGAAATGTTTTGTTCCACACTAGAATCAAAATTTGATACTCTGAGCGGACCAGTGAGTAGCTTTACTTAATTCAACTGTAACATCTTGACAGGCTGTAGGTGAGCTGACATCTGATTCTAGGACTGAACCGACAGTAGGGCCAGACTGACTAACGTCAATGACTTGCAATAAGTTTATTAAAAGCAAATAAAACTAAATCTCTAAATAATCTTTTAACATTTTTCAATTCATCTTTCTGTATTGTTGTAATCATTATATTATAGTTATAAAAGGAAAGGGAAATGATTAATGCTGAATGTTAATCAGTGTGAGTATCTGTCTCTTATGTTGTTAAGTTTAATATTCCGTATAAACATATAAACCTACATGTATTCTCATACTGGGACAGCTTCCGAAATAGCGTGTCAATTTTCCGGCTGGAGTGGTCTTTCTTTAGTTTTTTTCTATAGTATTTACTATTGTGAGACATCGGGGGTCCTAGATTGGTCCTCTACAACACAAACCGCCGCCGTGCTGTCTACTTTCGATTTATAACAGGAAGTGGAAATTTTAGATAACTCGTACAACGTTTGAACTTTTAAACAAAGTTCGTAGCGATATCCGAGTTTCTTTTTTTTCAACAAATATATTGGGAATTTTTAGTCTCAAAATTGGGAAAAAACAACGTTTTTTGGCATTGGGAATGGTGCCGTTTATCGGTACCAGTTATGTAAGGAAAAAAACGCTGAGCTACAAGTACACAAGCTTACAAGATTTAAGCACAGCGTTATCATAAATTATAAGAAATGCAAATTCAAAAAAAAAAAAAAATAAAATTCTCTCTCCATTTCTACTGCGTGAATTGTTTTTCGCTCGACTGATACTATAATTGCAAAGAAGGATCAAAATGAGTGAACATACATGTACAGTGTAAGACTAGCTGTACATCTGCCTGTTGTACGTGTTACTGCTTAGATCTATAGTTTATGACCGATAGATTCATTTACAAATAAGGTATAGTACTGTAATTGTAAAATTTAATGATCGATTAGAAAAGTTTGTATGCAACTGCAGTACAGATACATGTATACACGAAAATAAGGAATGTTAATCTTTGTGAGATTAAAAATTAAATACAGATATCCCGTACATGAAATTGCTACATACAGTATACCAGGTCGGGTACACGCCTCTATTTGGTTGATCCACTCCCACTTGGTGGTCTATAAATGTATGAATACATAAATGACCAAATGGTGGTCTTTCTTTCTTTGCGTCTATATTGCGTTAAAAAAAATCAGAAACGCGGATTTGCATGATCGAGAATCAGGCGATGATCTCTAACTCACCCTCATACTATGTAAGGCGATTCGCCGTACATTTCATGTGGCAATTTCCAAAGCGGAGGGTGGAATAGTATATAGAAGTAAGCAGTGCTGTTTTTTTTGCTACATAATTTAAAAATACCTCTTAAATGTTGAAAATTTCATGTGGGCTCAATCTACATCTCTCATACTTTACAAACCAAAGCTCCTTCTTGACCATGATCATTCAGAAGCAATGAAAAGTCCTGGTTACTGTCGTTTCGCCCCATAACCAGAGCGCCCCATGCACGAACGGTTTTTTTTACCGGCGCTCATTGACAAATATGAGCGCCCCAAAATTAAATCACGAGCGCCCCAGATTCAAGTACGAACGTCCCAAATTAGCATCTCGGGTGGCCCAAATAATATTGTCTTATCTAAAACAGGTACAAAAGTGCTCGTTATGTGGTTATTTTATGCAGAAGGAAATCAAAGTTCAATTTATTTTTTAAACATTTCATTTTCAAATATATGTTGAATTGATTAATGTTAACATTGTAGTTTCATACAAATGTACAAAATACAATTAAATTTCTTTTGACTTCCATTCTTCAAAGAGCACCAATGTAATATTCTTTTAAATTATCAACTTTTAATTATATGTGTGAGGTGTTTTTGTCATTGCCCTTCCTGCCAGTAGCCGAGGTAAAGGACGCCTTTCAGTACAATCAGGACGAAGCTCGTGATTATGACCGCCGTCTTGCCCTTTTGTCATACGTCAGCAGGAATCGGGTGGAAAGCAACGTATTTCCCATCCCGTCTTCGAACGTATACAGAAAAGAGACGAGGATCGACAAACAACGATTGCGAGGGGTGGCATATGAGACTGAACAACACTGCCAGCGAATCCACGCCCTCCATGTGTTCTCATCCCAATATTGCATAATGAGACAGAGAAGCTACCCCTTCAGCAGCAGATGGTAGAAGAGTAAAGTCTCCACAGACTGCAGCGCAGAGTTGTCAGTGACTGTACGAAGACCTGTGGGAGCAGTATGAGGCTTGATTTCTGACAGGTTGCTTGTGTACCTCTCCCGAGTGTGTGGTAAAAGTCGACTATAGTTGAGATTTGATGTGGACTGCTTTACATGTGAACTGTGCGAGAATAAGTGTTCCCACCCTGCACGACTAATAGTGTTGAGACACAAGGACTTGTGTTGTTTCTATTCATATGTGTTTTGAAATATACACATCGTAACTTATTTCTTGTGTTTATTAGGATTCTATATCTTCTATATACCAGAAATAGACAGTGTAGGCGTGTATAGCTATCTGACACGAATTAAATTGGTGGAAACCCCACTAAATATTATACGGCTAATAATCCATAGTACTACTACTGAAATAAGTTTGGGGCGCTGTGAAATAGGTTTGGGGCGCTCATATTTGTCCATGAGCGCCGGTAAAAATCCATGGGGCGTTCGTGCGTGTGGCGTTCTGGTTTTGCGGCGCAGTGACTAGCACCCAAAAGTCCCGTTATAATTAATTGCAGCAGCGAAACGTTTGTACGGAAAATCGTTAAAGTACAAAATACAAGGATTGTTAGAAAAGTTCGCGGACAAATTGAATTACGGAAAATCTATTGTGTACTGTGAAGTATGACCTATGTCTGAATAAATTCCTACATTTTGTGTATTGGTATGTAAACCAGAAGTCTCTGTCGAGACTGAAGCTCTACTGGTTTGTACTTGTAGCAAAGGAAGAGAAAAGTACTTAAGCAGTTGGGAATTGAAACTTTACAACAGCAATAAATAGAATAATGATCATTGATAAGGTCTTCTTATGTTCTTAAGTGTTTACTACTTGTGTGCCAAGTTATATTGAAATCAGACCAACACTGTAGGAGGAGTAGCATTTCGAAACAAATTCACAGAAATTTCTATTTTTAGTAACCACGGCAACACCGTTTATCAAAATTAAAAACAGATACACAGAATTATGTATCTTAGTGTAGTCTACTTGTGTGCCAAGTTCTATTGAAATCAGACCAAAACTGTAGGAGGAGTAGCATTTTGAAAGAATTTCACAGAAATTTCTATTTTTAGCAACCACGGCAACACCGTTTATCAAAATCAAAAACCGATATACAGAATTATGTATCTTAGTGTAGTCTACTTGTGTGCAAAGTTATATTGAAATTAGACCAAAACTGTAGGAGGAGTAGCATTTTGAAAAATTGTTTACAGACAGACAGACAGACAGACGGACGGACGCCGGACGCATTACTATCGCATAAGCTCTTCTGGTCTCTGACCAGTAGAGCTAAAAATCAGGTCCATATAATAAAATCTTGAAATTTTACAACTATTTTTACTATGGGATCATGGGATTCACGGAGCAATCACTTGACGTAAGCGACGTGACAACCAGATTTCAACCCGTAAAGCTTTGTCTCAGTTTTATAAATCTTTCATTTCTTCAGATTTTTCTTATTTTTTTCTACTTTAAAATTGAATATCGATATCAAGACATGTTACTTTTCTACTATAATGTCTGTTGTATTGATTTGGACATTATTGAGAAC